TTTTGCCCGGATACACCCCTGAGATCAACATTGAAAATTTATTTTGCCGTCTGTGTGAGCGACGAGTTTTCAAAATTCCAGTGAGCTGTTAGAGGAGCGGTACCAGGTGCCGAGAGGGTTCAGACCCGCTGGGTCAAGGTGATCCCTGCATGCTTCCGGAATAGCGTTTATTATCATGTTCCTCTTTTCCTCAACTTGTCTCATAGAGCCGAGTTTTAGTTGAAGTTCTTGTGAGATAAGCCAGCGGTCGCTTGTCGGATTCCAGAGGTTTTTTTATTGCTACTACCCCCCTCTCCATCCAGGTTCGGCCGAAGCTCCCTTTGGTAGTGTCTGCCCTGAGCCACTAGTTGGTTGAGTCGGTTATGTGCGGGTTTTCGAAGATCGGTTCGTTGAGCACTGTTTGTCTTGTGATCGGTTATTCCCACGTGTCTGATCTGAGTCGTCTCCATGCTTTAAACCACCAGTAATTGGCCCAACTATCAGCCACGGAAAAAGGTAGAGTAGAAACGTTTTTAGTTGGATGAATTTGGGCGATCTTGTAGTAGCTTGTACGTTTCCTAAAATCGCGTAGCGTTAACGGCACGACTTTAGGAAGTACTGGTGGTTTAATGATTGGTGTCCAGAACGGAGACTTGATTATTTTTCTTTGATAAGAGTACATTAACATGGCGTTCTAGACATCTTTTGGGCGAGTGAGTTCTCATTCCCTCATTAAAATTTGTTCCCCAAGCAAGATCCACTGCTTTGTTTGTTATGTCGAGCTTCCCCTGATGATCCATCGCACAAGTGTGGCCGCGTTCTGTCTTTCCGGATCTGTTATCCCCAGTCCCGCTTCTTGCCGCGCGGTGATGATTAATTCCCAAGCGACTTTTGAAATGAAGGATTCTTCCTCAGATGCAAAGGGTTTCTACACAAATCTGGCTGCTCGCCTTCTTACCATTGCGCACAATTGTTGTCCCAATTTACGGACTGCTCCTACATACCACAACAAGGATAGGATCGAGACATTAACTACCATGGCCCTGCCAAAGATTGATAGGTGCGGGGCTTTCACCCAAGTGGCTAGTCTATGCAGCACTTTATGAAGCAGCAACCCATCGTGGTCAGCCTTGCTGTCACACAGTGCTATTTGTACCCCTAAAAACCTTTCTGTGCTATTAATCTCCACCTGTCTAATCCCCCAACTGCAACTAGGCGAGTATTGGTTAGACAAAAGAAACAATGATTTGTGTCAATTTATCGATGCCTCAGAGAGTGTCGAATATTCGTCTAGACAGCCTTTGAGCGCTCCCAGGGACTTAGTGTTATTCTTGGATATGGCCAACAAGTCGTCTGCTAAGGCTTTTCTGTAGGAGCAGTCTGTAAACTGGGACAACAAGTCATCTGCCCAGAGACTTAGTGCCATTCTTGGACACTGCCACTTTTTGTGATTAGGGGCTGCCAGGTTCAACTCGGCAAGAGTCGCAGGGCCCTGTCCCTGTAGCCAGGACTGGGACAAAAGAAGAGAGGGCAATGGCAATGTTCTATTCGAATAGTCAGGACGAGACCAAAGCAGGTGCTAACTTTGGGCAAAAAAAAGAAAGTAATGTTTTTCGAATACAAGATTTTTTTCTTTCACAATTCGGATAGAACAAGTGCGCTTCTCATTCGAACACGCAACGCACGTGTGTTTTACTTGAAACCCTTCTATTTTTTATTATTTATTTATTTATTTTGGGAAATTTTCTCTTGCACCCCTTGTATTTTCCATTAATTTGTGTTGCGCCCTTCCGACAACCGATTTACCCTTTCGCGCCCCTCTGACCAGTAGTCAAATTTTCCATGAAATCCTGGTGTCATTTGGGCCTTATATGTTTTTGTAGTGCCCCTACCGGTACCCACATCAAATTTGCATCATGCCCCTACTGGAAAGCCGTTGGGAAAATTTTCGAAATGCCCATACCGGTACCATCGATATATTCAGTGTGCCCCTGTCGTTGTTGAAGGCACTCATGGGAATTTCCACCGGGCCTGGGCGCGAGCTACCGGGCCATGACAAAAATTTGTGAGTGTCCCCATGTTTTTGCCACGCCCTTGCTTGTGTGCTATGACACCACACCCAAGTGTGGCAGTGTATATTTCTATGTTATAGCGGTACATTCATTCGATGTTGCTCATCCTATCGATGGAAGTACCATGAGGTCAATCACGAGGTTGGGGACTTACGTGTTCTCTCTCTCTCTCTCTCTCTCTCTCTCTCTCTCTCTCTC